CGTTATCCTTTGAAGTTTGCCGGCCTTCCAAACCCTCTCATTATATTAACTATGGTTCCCCCCACCCAACGTATCTCCCGGCATCTGTTGCAAATGTCTTTGTATGCCTGTCAAAAATGCATGCAAAAGTGCCAGTATGCTTCAATTTCTTTAATTTCCATCCCGTTTGTACGAAATATCCCATAAACATAGAACATATCATTCTTGCAAATCGTAGTATGCTTTTTTTGTTTTTGGAACTGCTACTTTTTGGCGCGTAAATTACTTCACAAACCTGACGCCAAAAAATTTAAAATAAGTTATATGCATAGATATCTTATATATATATATATATATATATATATATATAAGATATCTATGGCTTTAGGTGATATCATGTATCCATTTAGAAGAGCAGACTAAGGATATCTTAAAACTGAAATCGGTTTCGAATAGAACCATCAGGGACGTAGCAAAGCATCTGACGTTTGGGAGGGGGGGATGTCAGAGGATTATACATGTAATAGTTATAATAAAGCTTTTTGTGATTGATTGGCATTCTCATACTAAGTTTTGGGAGAAAAGGGGGGTCTGAGGGTCCTCCCCCAGAAAAGTTTTACATTTTTGAAGCTCTAGGACTGAATTTCTGGCGTTTTCTAAAGCAAATTTCGCAAATTGACTGTATTTTACAAAATTGACTGTATTTTACAAAAATGGTTATCATTTCACAAAAATAATTACTTTATTACACAAATTTTACCTGAAAATGTAAAAATTTTAACTTTAATTTGCTGGGGTCAAACCTTTGAAAAGTTTAGAGCCCCCCCTTCAGTATATCAAGAACTTTCAGAGCCCCCCCTTTAATGCCAGAAAATATTTCGGAGCCCCCCCTTAACATCTTCATCCCCCCCCTCGGCATAATAAATGTACTTTCCCTACTTTTCCTAACGTTGCTTTTCAATTCCCAACGCTGGAAGAATGTGATTTCGAACGGTAATTTTTATTGGACGATATGTGGCCATTTCTCATCGTTACGATTTAAAAAATATATCACAGAAAAGTTAAATAACAGCTTTTTCGTCCTATGTAAAAATTGAATTGTTTAGCAAAGTAGTTAAGATGAACGCCAGCCTGTTGAATTTCCATTGTGTTTTTTAGACACCCTGCACAGCCTGTTATAGCCATTAACTGCAGCAATAATACACGTGTCGGAACTGACAGAACAGATGAGCCATTTCATAACAAATTTTTCATAGCTTTAATAATTAGTACGTAAGTTAGGCGCAAGAGGTACAGAGAGCTAGTGCGAATGTGACAACAGTGAAGTCAGTGTGAGCACACTATATGCGCTAAATTTGGAGCGTGAATCTTGATTTGTGACAATTTTTACTTCTTGCTATATATTATTGCTATAGTACTCAGGAAATTAGTTCCACTCTAGGCTCAAAGAAATACGGAAGGAGTGGAAAACGAGCTTTAGTTTAAAGTTCAGTGGTCCATAACGCATATGTATTTCAGTACTTGATTGATCCAAGCCTTAAAGTGTTCCCAAAATATTTTCTGCAGCGCAGACTAGCTCTGACATGCTATTTTGGAATAAACACCAAGGCTTATGATTCCGAAGAAACTAACAGAATGAGAAACTAACTGACACAAGACTAACTGATTAATCTACAAATTCCGCTGTTTATATGTGGTACCGCTTACCAGCGGGATTCAATGAAGTGTGACGTATTTTCAGTAACTGGAAAACGTATTTTAGACCTAAGCAAAAGTTAGATAACTTTAAATATTGTTTAAACGAAATTAGAGACGCGCTAGAAGTTATGTTGTGGAAGAAGACGATTAATAGCATTCAACAACATTTCTTTTTTGTCTAAAATATGGAATTTCATGCAATTTGTAACAAGCAATTTTGTTACATGATGAAGTTAAATCATTTCAAACGCTTAAAATACTTCACATTTTATTGAATCCCGGGTAAGCGGACCACATAAACAACCCCTAACAGACCTTACTTCGTTTCCGCACCGGAATATATGAAATATCTGTTTATCGGAGGTTTAATTAAAACCCACGTTTAATATAACGTATCCCGCGACTGTATGCATCTAGAATTTAACAGTTGCATGCCCTAACCATTAGTTGCATGCCTTAACCTATAGTAATTAGGCTCAATAATCCTATATACCGGCAGACTCGCTTATGGCAGACTCACTTATAAAGGATAGGTGAGACTCACTTGTTTAAATTAAAATATATCAGCATTTTTATTAAAATTCTAGGAACTACAATCTCTCTCACAAGTTGTTCAGTTTATAAATGCGTATTGAATTAGCTCGTAATTTTATCCTGTAATGTTGAAGTGAAACGCACTTTTGCATGTGTAATTCTTGAGTCTGACATACCATGTATGCAATTATTTTTCAATAAATTCAAAACTTGTAACGAAATGGAGGAAAGAAATTCTAACATACCGCTTCAATATCTCGTAGCAATATCCAATCTCCTGATGCTGCTGTATCTCTCTTTTTAGTAACGTTGGTCAGTTGGCAGTTTTCAACTTTGATTGTTATAATTCTGTAGTTAAATCCAACACATTTTGGTTCTTTCTGACAAAGATGGTAGCACTTTATCTGAACAGCTGGGTTTTCAACACTATGGCTCGCGATGACCTCATCTGGAGGTAAACGTGGACCTCCTGCGTAAAAGTAAAATGTTGAAAAAACTGGTTAATGGAATATAGAGAAAATCGAGGATTATCATTTATCAACTCTGTATATGGCTGATTTTGGTACTTTATGTAGATCTTCACGCTTTAAATACATTATTCTAATTCATAAATAGACATGTACGTAGACGACTCACCTCTTCTGATGGTCTCATAATACGTGGGAGAACAGTTCTGTCCATTAATGCTTGCAATTTTAAGAATTAGTATGATTGATGTAAACATTTTAAGCATGATCGAGGTCGCTAAATGTGCTTTCTATATGCTAGTCACTGTCTTCATACTGAAGTAAGCAGGTGCATGGAGATGCTCTAAAACACTTGTGTGCGGTCAAGTCATAAAGATGTTGATGAGGATAAAGCGCAGAGGTACTTGACATGAACTGCACTTTTGGCGGCATATAAGCTAAATTAAATTTTCTACTAAATGTAAATTACACATTTTGCCCAACCTTAACTTCAAATTGAGTACGTATATTAAGTTTGTCTGGTTAATAAAAGATTCGAATTACAATTTTCCATCCATCAAATGTGTTGTGACATTAAAGAGTGGGTAGTTTTACATGCTTATTTTCTACTCAATTTAAAACACAAACAACAGCCGCTACTTAAGGATTGCCCATGTTATTGTGGAGGACCACCTATGGTCTTGCTAGAACAAATGGCTTTTCTCTCTCCCCTAAAGGGTATTTATGAAGACTGTTCAAATAATGCTTATTTTTTTTACTCATGACAAATTTCGAAAAAATATTTTATTTCTGCAAAAACAGGCTTTTTGAAAGCAGAACATGAATTTGCTAAAACTGCATGGCGCATGCTGAAATTTTAGCCAGATTGTCCAAAAATGTGTAAGTTTTGCCTGTAAATTAAAAACCTAATTGCGGGCAAGTCAAAAATATGTTGATGAGGATAAAGGGCTATAGTACTTGACATGTACTACATTTAGCGGCATAGAAGTTAAATTAAATTTTTTTGTAATAGGTGCAAAATACGGGGAGAAATGCGAAAAATAGTCATGCTATAGAAACAGCTAGATATTGGAGTGAAATTGGACCTGGTGAAATATATTTATAAAAGAGATAAATAGAGGCAAATATTTTCGTTGATGCGGAAAATTCCTAATAATTAGAGTTACAGCAATACAAAGAAAAAATTGAAATGAAAGTGCTTGCAAGAACATCCCAAGCAAATTACGAGTTTCACAACAATATTGATTATCACGCTTTTAACCAGCGGACACGCAAAAACTGGCGAGAATTTAGGGCCAGGGATAGGGCTAGGGAAGGGATAGGGTCTTGCTGATAGGGTCTTGCTGCCCGGTCTTGCTGTATTGACCTTGCTATCGCTCGGTCAATACAGCAAGACCTCAGTTGGATATTTTTCCTTTCTGCCCTCACTTTCGATCAGTAAGTTATTATTACTTTGTGTTATTTAATTGGTTAGCTTATTTAATTGGAAGAGACGTTTATTATTTTACAAAGAACTATTCACTAATTTCAATAAATCCCATCCTGGGGTTTACTGTTATATATTTTATTATTTGATGTATATACTGTGCTGTAAACTTCTCGAACTGCAGGACTATACTGTATGTAGTTGCTTAGGCTTTCACAGTTAATATTACACAAGGCAGCACATACTCGTTGTATCTTGTAATCCTTTCCTATATGGGTGCACATGAATCTTTTGCTGTTATAATTTATTTATAGAAAACTTCAAAAAACGTTTCTTCTCTAAATAAACCATAATGTCACAATCAGTGACAAATAGTTAACTTCCCTTAGTTAACCTTGTCCACACAGTAATTCAATGAAACTCAGCCCTCTGTATGAGATTGTACTAATTGGATTCTTTCCTAGAAAACTTCATAAACCTTTTGATCTAAATGTCAAAAAGTATAATTCCCGATTGGGAGACCATATAAATATTATTAAATAAGTTAATATAATTTTTAAGAAATGTTCTAATGATAAAAATATTAAATGATAGTGATCAGCCACTAAGACCAGAATTCATCTTTGATCAACTTCTCCCTGGTTATGACCCCCTGCAGAGAACCACCTAGGGTACAGGGATAATTTGTGATGAATGAAAAAAATTGCCCGAAATAAATGTCGAGCCAAAGAAATATTTTTATAACCATAGTCATAACAAATTTTGAGATGACTTACCCTATTAGTTTGATAGCAATATCAAAATATTTTTATTTGCACAATAAAACAACACATACCTACTCTGGGGAGTGGGGAGGGTTGCAACAAAAATTTTATAGACGTCGTATTCTCTTTTCCTTTTTGGTTAATGCACATCATTCGTAAAATTGTCTTTTTTTGGCTATAAATATTAGTTTTTAATCAATATATATCTTAGTTTTTTTCCCTTCCTATCGAATTCAAGTCATGCCGACTACGAAAACAATTTCCCAACTGCTATACTATAATTTGCCAAATAGCTGACGATTTGGGGTGTGCGTATCACCCCCACATCCCATCTACCTACGCCCCTGAATCCTCGATTGCTATTATACCTCCTACTTTGAATGTCCCTATTCGGTTCCATAGTTAATTAATGGCAGTAATCAGCATGAGGGTCAAGTACATTTCCAGCCATTGATGAGAAAAATTGTCCAGAATTACAGTAAAATATCAAAATAGGGCGCACTAAAGAGCATTGTGGCTTAATGATCTAATGAGTTAATTAACAACAGATAGGTAGACATATAGATGGACTGGTTAAACCATTCCAATACCAAGTCCAATACTTATACCCTTGACAAGAAAACATTCAGGCGTGACTGAGGCACATTTGAGGCTTAATGGGATAATTTTAAAACTTGTACATTACATGTTCTAAACTTGCTCCAACTCTTTCAATACTATAAATCTTTAGAAGTATTTCCTATCCTGACACAAAATTTGATTAAATTCAATAATTTGAAAAGTGCTGTTGCATCCTACTAAACTGCTGGCAAACATTGAATCATATGAAGAAAAGCTATGAGGGCAGTTAAAATATGACAAGGATTAGGTTTATAAACTGTTAATTTCTAGAGGCCTCACAACACAGTATAAACATGGAATTCACTATATTCATATTTTTAATTATCTGTTTCAGTATTCCTCTGACTTAGAAATCTTCTGAAAACTTTAATATTATTAAGATTTGTAACCACCACATATCAGAATTGAGACTACCTCTTTTCAGATATTTACTATATAGCAATATACAGTACATTGTCATTGTTTTGGTCATTAATTGGCTTTCCACGCGATCTTTCAACCATTATAAATACAAGAGCGTTAACTGAAAAATTATGGAGGAATCACAAATGTCTCTACATTTAAGCTTTTTCACACTGACACAGAAGTGAATGGACAAGATTACAAATAATTGTGACATTTTTTTTCGACAACAGCACTCCTCACTGCTTCTGTCGGCTCTATACTGACCATGTTTCACACGCAATATTTTCCTTAATCATTCGCTAACACATCTCTGGTATCGCACTATGAATAACATCAACATTTTCACCAAAACCCCGAAAAAATCATCATTTATAGACGAAACAATAAAATATTTCAAAATAGTTTTGTTTTCACCAACGCATGCGCAGTTTGGATCGATATACAATTTTTGTATGTCTGATTCGGATTATCCCTTTGTTTCCTTCTCAAGGATCGCAGGCTCGGGGAACGAAATTGCAGTTCTGCATGTTCGGATCACGTCTACAAAACTCATATAACTGCTTATATCGCTGATATAACAGTGCCAAATGTAGGGCTATCAGACCACATCCCTGTTTTTATTAGACGAAAATATTGTGCAATACAGAAAAGCTTAAATGAATATTGTAATTTCGTGACTTCAAGTGAAATTAAATAAAAACAAGATGCTCTATAGAGCGTTAACTCACTCGCTGGGGCTATACAAATAAAAACTAAATTTTGTCACCATATTTGCTCATAATTTGTTTATTTATTTATTTATTAACTTTACAACCATACATAAAATAGATTAAACCCTACATAATATGGTTGAAGGTATGGTCAACAGGACATGAATAGCCCCATGTGAAGACCAACCTTAATGAAAACAAACTGTAACAAACATAAATCAAAGACGAGAACAAATATATAATTTACAGAAAACATGACGAATTACGAACAACAGCTTAAGTTGAAAGAGCGGCACTTAGAACAGAAGGTTTTCCAAGTGCGCATTCTGTTTACATTGAAAGATGAATGAAGTAGAGAAGAGTAATGAATAGTTAGTCTGTTTTTAAAGGAGGAAACGGATGAACTATTACGAATGGTGGGAGAGAGATTATTCCAGAGAAAGACAATTCGGTTGAAAAAAGAATTCCTAAAGAGAGAAGTCCTGCAATGATTAACATGAAGCAAGTTCTCCGAACTTGAACGGGTGTGAGACGAGCTGTTTGAAGAAAAAGCGACGAAAGAGGAGATATCTAGGTCAAAGAGACCGTGCTTACATTTAAAAAAGAAGACGAGATCCTTTAGTTCCAGCCAGTAGGATATTGATAATAGATTAAGCTTCTTAAGGCGTTCAGGATATGAATCATGTGGCCGTTAAAATTATTGAAATAAATTTGACCAATACAGTGGCCGGACATTTTGCCGAAAGACACTTTGCCGAAAGACATCTTGCCGAAAGACATGTTGTCCGTTCGTCAAACTGTTCGTTCGGCAAAATGCACGTTCGGCAAAATGTCCGTTAGGCAAAACGTCCGTTCGGCAAAACGTCCGTCGGCAAAATGTCCGTTCGGCAAAATGTCTTTCGGCAAAATGTCTTTCGGCAAAATGTCCGGCCACCGTATTCTCAAAGACCAAAAAATAAATTGTCAAACTTTTGCAGGAACTACTTTATGGCAAACTTTAATTAATTGACATTGGAAGTTTTTGCTGGCAAATCACTTGTTTTATCCCTTACAGTACCTCTCAAAGTCAGCATCTGCTGTTTGTTTCATTTTGTCAAAGACAATATCAAGGCTCTTCTCAATACTGCTTTTTTTTTCTTTCCTGGACGTTTTTCTGCCTGTTGGCTTGCCTTACCAACATCTTCAGGCTTTTTGGTCTCTTTGGTATTTTTAGGCTTGCTGTCCTTTTTACCATATTCATCATTAACCTAAATAACAACATCAATGCGTACAGTTACAATGCTGATACAATGCCCGTCAATCGGCGAAGTGAAGATGCACGCGTTTGGGATAAATTGGTTATTTCCTTATCTATCAATCTGCTTGTTTCGAAATTTGACATCTGATCAAACATTCAGTCTTTCTGAATAACAAGCATATGCTCACCACATCTTCAACTTCATGACTGCTTTTATTTGAATTTGCAATTTGGGCAGAAAAACTCATCTTCACCACAAAAGACCGAAACAGCTCCCGCAACAGATACATGCATGGACACCATCGGACCTAATTTCTTGCTCATAGTCGCAAGTATCACACTTGCGAACAGATATTTCCCCTTGTCCGTATTTTTCAACCATATCATTAACTATATAAACAAGAGAAGTAAGAAACCAATGGACCATTTGCATTATAGACAAGGCTAGACAAACATTTCAACACAGCTTGAAAGAGCATCACAAAATTAGTAATATTCCGAAGCTTCGTTGCTAAATGTTGTAAAACGCGGATAATATAGCCTTGCGAAGTTTGCCGTTTTTCAGTCATTTTGTATTACGCACGGGAAATTGACAGCCCAGTCGGGTGTTGGGGCATTAATTTCCCGTTTGTAATACAAAATGACTGAAAATTGCAAATTTCGCCAGGCTATATTTTCCGCATTTTACAACATTTCGCAAAGAAACTTTGGAATATTACTAATTTTGTGACGCTCTTTCAAGCTTTGATGAATTTTTTGTCAAGACCATAATTTAGTCTATAATGCCATTATTGCGATGCAGAGAATGGCTGCCTGTGTTGTTTTATAGACGGGCACATTGAGCATTCTAGAATATTTTAATACATAAATATTTTATTAATTTACTCTCTGGAGATTCTAATTCTTGTTACATCCCGTAACATTCCGACCTGTAGCAGCGTTGTTTTCTTCAGCGGACTGGTTTGAACTGGATGCCATTGTATCCACCAGAGTTGGGGGTGAAATATTGCGTTTCTTCTCTAGAAATTGATCGATATCATCAAAAAATTTCCAATTTTTTCCTGCGCTATTTCCAGTTTGCCGGCTACGTTCTTGTCTTCTCTTGCTTGTACTTTTGTCGCAGTTTTTTCATTTTATTTATTACTTCTTTCACAGTGAATCCCATGAATCTTTGCTTTCAAGCTGATTCTGTGTTTAAAATTATTCATAAGTATGACTCGAAAGTTATGTACTGTGTTTATTAATTCATACAATACTGTGAGTCAGTCTTGATTATGTTATTAATAAAAAATGGTGTGTATGTTCAGCAGAAAATTGTACATTTATACGGAGTAACCGTGTAAAAAAATATTCGACTCCTTGACTTTGTAAAGTTCGAAAAGCAAGATAAAAATTCACTTACAAAAATACAAAGCTAAAACACACAAAAAAAGTTAAAAATCATATAAAGTAAAAAGTAAAGACAGACCAAAACATTAAAAAAAACACGAAAATAAACGTAAAACACAAATTAAAATAAACTGTTAACGCTAAAACACGAAAATCAAAAATTAAAACCCAAGAATTAAGAGTTTAAAACACACAAAAAATATATTAAAAGTTGAAACAAAAAAATACAAAGTTGCGGTGACTTGTCACTTACCAACACTACACTGTAAATTAAAAAGGGCTGAAACGACCCCAAAAATGGGGCCAAAACGGTGACCGCAAAATAGATCTTTTTTTGGGGTCAAAATGGCACCTATAACATTGCGGCCCCTAGGGGTGATTTGGCCCTTCCAGTGTAAGGGCTGTTTCAGCTTTTAGTAGGAGCTGTTTTGGCAAAAGCAGGGGCTATTTCAACTTTCAATAGGGGCCAATTCAGAAAATTAGGGGGCTATTTTGGCATTTCGAGGAGTTAATTTGGCTCCCATTTGTGGTCATAATGAACCCCAAAAAGCGTTGATTTGGCTCGCTAACCGGAGCTGTTTTGGCTACTGAGTTACAGAGTAGTTTCAGCCCCAATGAAGAGCTGCTTTAGAACCGACGGAGCCGATATAGCTTTTCTAATGGTGTAGTTTTTTAGCACCCAAAGGGCCAATATGGTTCTATTTCTGAGCCATTATAGACCACAAGAAAGGCCAATTTAACCCCTACTTTTTTTAACCAGAGCTATTTTGGCCCTCTCAGAAGAGCACAGTTTCAGCCCCAAAGAAGAGCTGCTTTAGAGCCGAAGGAGCTAATATAGCTTTTTTCATGGTGTAGTTTGTAGCACCCAAAGGGTCAATTTGGTCCAATTTCAGAGCCATTATAGATCCAAAAGAAAAGCCAATTTAACCCCTACTTTGTTAACCGGAGCTGTTCTGGCCCTTTCAGAGGAGAGCAGTCTCAGCCCCAATGAAGAGGTGCTTTAGAACCGATCGAGCTGATATAGCTTTTTGGTGGTGCCGTTTTATATAGCATTTAAAGTCATGTGCATTTGGTTGCGCTCTTGCATGTAGACGTATTCTACATGTATATAATGAATCAGGCAAAAATATTGGGGTTTATTTGGTCTTGATTAAATTATTACAATTTCTCCAACAGACCAAGATTGGAATGAATTATTGCAATATAAGTTGAGATAAATGTTCCAATTTCTGTATTATAAACACAATACTATAACTAAAATTACAATATACATGTACAGTAGTCAGTATTATGGATCTCACCGAAATGTGGGAACCATCAAAAGATTCGTACATACTGTATATGCCATATGGCTCCGAAAGTTTACAATTCTAATTTTAAAGAGCAATCAACTTGTGATAGCAATAGCAGGCGCGGTTGTTAACATGAACGCAATACGAATAATTTCTAATACATTACCACAGTTCGGTGAGATGTGAGACAATACACACATTCCATCAATAACATTAACTTGGGTTAGCATATGTCAACATAACTCTCAAAAAGTGTAAAATTACTGTAGTACTAATACTCAAGAGTCATGACAAGTCATTGAAGAGGGCTGTGACCCTCACTGGCAGTTGTATATGCCATTTTCTGTCTTGCCCACGCACTACTATAGTCTGCAAGGCAGACAAGATGCTCTTCGTGTGGCAGTACTCAATATTGAAGATGTAAAAACTTGCCAATGAGGCGATAATTGCATCAAAACAACTGTTGCTTGTTATGGAACTTTCATCCTTTCCCTCGATAACGTATGATTGACAGTTTCTAGTCGTATTCTAGTAAGTTCGATGCCAACGACCACAATATGGGTTGTGATAAGTTTGAAATTGTATCATTTGCATCTTCAGACTCCTACAAAAAAAAACAATTAGAATGTATGCAATAATCCGCAATTACAGGGGGTTATAGGACACATAAGATATAAGGTCTCACCAAGAAACCCAATAATAAAGCTCTTACATACATCAGACACAAAATACCTGAAAAAGTATATCACACCCGACCCCTATAACTCTTCCAAAAGCATTAAGTATAACATGACTTAGATTCTGCACTTCACTTGGTGGAATTAATATTACAATCATGATGAAATCCACCTTATCCCAACCCGCACACCCGATTACCTTATATATACACAAACTTACGGTCACAGCTTAACAGCTGGCCTCTGTAGCTCAGAGCGCTGCACCGGAATCGCAGGGCCGTAGGTTCGATTCCTACCAGAGGACCTTGTGCTGCATTTTTCGCAGTTGTTCCTGGTTAGGTCTTAAAATGTATATATTCTCACTTGGATTCATTCTAATATTAATTCCACCAAGTCTTCACTTGCAGAATCTAAGTCATGAAGTCCACCTTATCACAACCCGCACACCCGATTACCTATATATACATGAACTTACGGTTACAGCTTAACGGCTGGCCTCTGTAGCTCAGTTGGTTAGAGCGCTGCACCGGAATCGCAGGGCCGTAGGTTCAATTCCTACCAGAGGACCTTGTGCTGCATTTTTCGCAGTTGTTCCTGGTTAGGTCTTAAAATGTATATATTCTCACTTGGATTACAAACCCTAACATTCTAATGTTAATTCCAACAAGTGAAGTCCAAGAATCCAAATGATTGAAGTCCACCTTATCACAACCCGCACACCCGATTACCTAAATATACGTGAACTTACGGTTAAAGCTCAACAGCTGGCCTTATTAGCTCAGTTGGTTAGAACGCTGCACCGGAATCGCAGGGCCGTAGGTTCAATTCCTACCAGAGGACCTTGTGCTGCATTTTTTGCAGTTGTTCCTGGTTAGGTCTTAAAATGTATATATTCTCACTTGGATTCATTCTAATATTAATTCCACCAAGTGAAGTGCAGAATCTAAGTCATGAAGTCCACCTTATCACAACCCGCACACCCGATTACCTATATATACATGAACTTACGGTTACAGCTTAACAGCTGGCCTCTGTAGCTCAGTTGGTTAGAGTGCTGCACCGGAATCGAAGGGCCGTAGGTTCGATTCCTACCAGAGGACGTTGTGCTGCATTTTTCGCAGTCGTTCCTGGTTAGGTCTTAAAATGTATATATTCTCACTTGGATTCCAAACCCTAACATTCTAATATTAAGTATAACATACCAACATACAGTAATATTTTGAAAAATCAAAATATATGCTGCCTCGCAACAAACTCTCCTAAAAATAAGCTCACTATAAGCACACAAATATTATTCAAATTTACAGTATACTGCATCATAAGAAAAATAATTAAAATACAAAATTGGAAACATGAATTTCCATAGCCTGGTACAAGTGATTCAGGGAGACTGCATAAAAACATAATACATGATATACATATAACTATACGATCTTATTTAACCCATTAAGCACCAGGGCTCTCCCCTTTACGAGTAGAATAGGCGTTCGACAGAGTAGAGTAATAAAGTTCAAAATCATTTTGTTTGAATTACTTCACCTATCTATTTGTTTAAAATTATGTATGGTAGATTCTGTGGTATGAACACTTGCAAAATTACTCAAAAAAATTTAAAATATGTGACATTATGTTGCCTTAACAAAACTTGACACAACGTGAGCCTGCGTTCAGTGCTGGCCAATTGCTAATAGTTCATGTTAAATCAATGTTTGGAAAATATAGGCAAGGGGTTGCTGCATGCATTTATTTCTAGTTAAATATTAATTGGACATGCTCATGTCACTAGTGGTATTCATTATATCTTGGTCAGACAAAACAAATTCCACAACCCACAGGTTAAAATAGACATCTTGTGAATTATATCACAAATGATTAATAATTTTTTGCTGCAGCAAGCACAGATTCACCAGAAGCATGTAACCTCATGAGTTTACACACCCCAAAACAACACTTTCCTAAAATGATAGCTTTCCTTCATCATTTAATTTTATAACTGGACTTAGCTGATCTGTTCTTATAGTTTTTATATTTTTAGACTTTTCGTTATTCAAGTTTGAAACAAGACCAAGATTGGTAGCATTTAATTTTGACAATTTAAGAGAATGTAGTTCTGCATTACTGTTTTTCTCTGTATCTCATCCTTAATAAGCCTACCATTTTTAAATTTCAAATTGCCTCTTTCTCTCCTCTTCTATATATTAATAGTTTTACTTTGGAAAATATCAGTAATCATATTTCTAATCTGTACAGTTCTGTTCCTACACAACATCTTCGCACCCACACATCGTGTTTAGGACTGAAGTTCCAGATCATGGAAATGCTCTGCCAACAGCCCTGCGGGTTCCCAAAGAGTGTGTAGCCCATGTATATCATAGTACAAACCATAGAAATAAAATTAAAACAATATATTTCATTTCAAATGCTTTTTTTTCATTAATGTACAATAACTAGGGAATTTTATGTAAAGTGCAATTCTACATTCTCTTCGATTGACTTGAATATGTTTATGGCTAGCATTTATTTGATGTACTACAACAAATCCACTAAGTTTCAATGGACATAGCATCTCCCTATTTGAAATAAGCCATAAGGCATTATATTTGGTATTGTAATTAATATCTTAATATCTTACAGAAATGATTGCACAAGTCATGCGTTTTGACAAATGTTGATCTATATTTTCAATATTAACCCCATAATTTAAGCACCAGCGTTCTCCTCTCAAAACAGAGTAAAAAAAATAAAGTAGGTCGCAATGCGAGTCAATGGGTTAACTATAAACACGGGCAAATAGGCCAGTTAAACCCATTAAGCACCAGCGCCCTTACCTTGACGAGTAAAATCATCTGGTGTTAGACAGAGTAAAATAATAAATTAGGGCAGAATGCGACTCACTGTGTTAACAACACACATGGGCAGATAGGCCAGTTAACCCCATTAAGCACCAGTGCTCTCCCCTTAATGAGTGAAATCATCTGGCGTTAGACAGAGTAAAATAATAAATTAGGGCACAATGCAACTCAATGTGTCAACAACACACATGGGCAGATAGGCTAGTTAACACATTAAGCGCCAGCGCTCTGCCCTTAATATTGTCGTGCGATAGGCAGAGTAAAATAATAAATTAGGCCGCATTAGGGCACAATGCGACTCAATGGGTAAACTATGTACACATGAGCAGGTAGGCTAGTTAACACATTAACCGCCAGTGCTCTCCCCTTGATGAGTAAAATTGCTAGCGTTAGATAGCCAGAGTAAAATAATAAATACTTAGTGCGCATCAGGGCGCAATGCGACTCAATGGGTTATTAACATCAACAATGTTTCAAATGTCAAATCTGCCATGCTCAATATAATGCACCTATCAATGTTAACCCCGAGGGAGGGGGGGGGGTCGGGCAAGGGGGGGGGATTTGACATTTTTACAAAAAAAAATGTCAAATGCCACTCCCTCGGGAGAAAATTCCTGGGCAAAATTGCCCACCCCCGGGATGAAATTGTATTCCTGAGGTATTTGGCTTCTGGTGCAATCTATAATCTATATGTCAGGTGATAAGGAAATTACACAAATACATTTGGCGCTATAATTTAAAAGTATAACAAATATAAAGAATTAGCTTCAAAATAACTTAAAAGACTCATTAATAATTCATATACCTTGCGGCAAATCATGTCAGCCATATAATGTCACGTGAAGTGAGTTTATAATATCTGATATAACACTAGCCTGTGTTCCAGTCCGCTACACCACGGTGTAGTGGACTGGAACGCAGGCTAATAAAACACAGTATTCTTATATAATTATATTGTCAGTATTCTTATATAATTGTTCGCCCTAATTAGTATTCTTTTGTAGTCGTATTTTAAGTTGTGCGCCTCGCGTTTTATATCTGATAAAACACACTCGTACTTGTGTTTTAAATAGTACATAATGCGAACTTTTAACATATAAGTATAAATCGATATTAATATAATTATAAAATGGATTATAAGTGTTTATTTCTTGTCCAGAAATCTCCATATTTCTTGTAAAAACAACGCGCAAGACAGCGAGCGATAAACTAGTGCCCAGTCTTCAGTTTGTTCCTGACTCTTCCACAGTCCCTTTTTACAGCGGACGACTGGGGACGAGTCAGAGTTTGTTCTAAAATTGGCTCAGGTTTCTTCAGTATATCGTCTGAGATCAGTGTTAATCTGTCAAAAATCCCCACCCTCGTTGTCAGTCCGAATCCCGACCCATGGGACCACCTGATTGATCAAATCCCCACCCTTTGCCCGCCCCCCGCCCCCTCGGGGTTAACATTGATAGGTGCATAATCATAGATTCAACTATTAATTTGACATGTAAGTCAGATGTCCTGTATACAACAACAACATCAATATACAGTATACTATTAATTAATTAATCAATCAGCCACAAAAATGTCAATCGTGTATTATTCTCGGCCTAAAAGCTAAACCTATTAATCCTAGATTGGTGTTTAGTTTGGCTTTTGCTGCTACTGAAACGACTTTTATATAATTATGTGATTACAGCTCGGAATTACAGTGGGTTCTGCATATAAAGATTTTCTCTGGATTCGATGTTTCACTATTTAGTATCGAGTAAAATCAACAAATAATTATGGGTCAAACGAGGATGAGAGTATTTTAAAGTTGAAACATAGTTGCAGAACACTCATCAAAGCTTTAATAATATTTTGTTCATCTGGAACTTGAAAATTATGTCCTTTGTGTATTGATAAGCAATTCATGCATGACTTTCATCCTCATTTGACAGAGGCTATATAAATCTAAAATACCAGTTTAAAAACTTACATTATCAAATGAACCAGTATTGCCAGTATGCCTGATTCAGGAGATGATTCTTGATTGGGCAAAGTTAAACTAGACTGGGCTACTAGCAAGTGGTATGTCGCAGGATTTGAGCTAGCAGTGAACTGGATATTTCAATGTTGTGTGCACTTTTTTCATCGTCGCTGTCACTTTCAACTAGAACCTACATATACAAAAAAGAAATAATCTTACATTCGTATCGTAAACGTGAAGCTATAAGAACATATTTTGAATAATTGATGTCCGCTGTCGTGATTTGGCCATCAGCAAACAACAGTCGTCGACACGAAGGTGAAGAAAGTAAATAACATTTGTCAGAATTAGGCTAGTACAGCACGAGACGTTTCTTGAACGTATTTTCCTAATAAATTGTTTATTTGTTCAAAATATACTGCAACGAACGAGGTTTTACGCTTGTATTTTATCCGTATCCCTCGTCGAAGCAAATCCCAACGGCCAACGTTCGATAATGGCGCCAAAAGTTAGTACGCATGCTCGAGAATGATCGAAAACCCGATTGCTTACGGGCGCGTGCATTCTCGTTCCCAGTTCCCGCGATCATTAATATTAATAATACACCTAGGCCTTATTCTATGATTACACGTTCAATTCTCGTGATGAATTTTTACAAATACCGTATTTATATTTACGATAATATTACTAAAAATCTGGAAAACAAATTTCAATAACCTACAAAATGAATCATCAAATCTCACCTTGTATAAATTAATCCAAAAAACGTCCTCTTCTTTTTCTTTGCGAGCATGTGCATTCTTTAAGGACTTTAAGTTTTATGCGGAAGTTAATTTGATACGATAATTCGACGGACGATCGACACAATTAAGAGTCGATTTGACGGAAGGGTCGATTTGACACAATATTAATAGTCGATTTGACACAATTAAGAGTCGATTTGCCTTGAACTCCATGTCCTTTGCAATTTTCCTAGTTAGTTCTCAGATATATAGCCATACAGCTCATTTTATTATTTCTTACTTTCTAACACACAACAGTTTAATCCGATCAATGGGCGAGTCTTTTACATCATCAATTGGGTGTTATCAATGGTCTTGGCAGATAATCCAATGATAACCTATTGAAGCAACTAAACATTTTGATTAGTTAAACTCTTGTGGTCTTACCTTATAAGTTTATGGTTTCCATCAATATGCCATAAACTTAATGGCCCATGGACTTGGTATTTTCTTCTAATTACACTTCGTGACTGACGTTCAATTATCCCAACATGGTCAGTCCGTACTAATGACTCTATTATCCTATGCAGTTGCACTCGATGTCCATTGGCAGCAAGGAAACCTTTGGTTAACCTGATACCGGTGTTGGGATTTAAATGTTGAGCTTCTCGAACAAGTTGATCAAGATGGTCATCAGTGACATCACTATAAGTAGCTAAAAAATAACCAGCATCTTATCACCAGGATTTAATTTGATTGAGTGCACATAGTTTTATACAGAACCACAGTAGAATGAGAACAGGATACCTATTCACATCTTTCATCTGCACTTCACTTTTTACAGTTGAACAAAAAAGTTAGTGTCGCATTGCAATATGGCGAGCAGACATAAATTAATTCATGAAAACTGGAATTTTATTGAAAACTGAAATTTGTGGACCTGTTTCCGTTTCAGGTTGGGCAAATAATCTGATTTTTTTACCAATTCAGATGCCTGTGTCTAGATTTTTTCAACAACACCAATCCCCCACACAAGGTCTGACAAGTGACAAGGAGCCTGTTCTGCCTGAAGGATGTTAGGAGGATTGTATTACTAACATCACTTTCCGTAGGTTTGTCGACTTGGTCTTAACATATACGGTGTTGGATAACCACTTTAGGCTGGAAATAACTTTCTTACCTGACACACTCGTGCCAAATGACCTCATTCGCCGCTCCAAAGTCCTCTTGCTTACACCCATCATACTGCTTACTTCGCTAACTTTGAAACCTTGTTCCAACAAAAAGTTCAATTGCCCCTCGTGTATATCATACGAAGGTTTTCCACGGCATCCTGTGTAAACTTTTTCTGGAAATGCAGAGTTATTCATGGCAGAATAGAGCTCCCGCTGCACAAATTTATTTAAATTTTGGCAAACCCTGTCCACCATTTCCAAAGTGATGTCGTCGATTCTGATATTTACAAGAAATCTCTTAAGAACGTCGAATCGTATTGCCATTCCCTCTACACAATCTGTGTCACCAAGGCTGTCTAATCGCGATATTATGTCCTCAATAATGTTCAGTGCACCAACTATTTCATCGTTTCGCTCGCTCGTAGCCGCCGCCATATTGGAATCAAGTCCTAGAAGAATGCCGGGGGGGGGGAAGTTTAACGACGCGTTAATTAATATTGGCGGATATTTAACGCGGTGCTATATAACCGCCAATATTCACTTCCCGAATTCATGTAGTGATGCGTTTTCAACATGTTTTGAAACTTCAACATTGAAAATTACTTCAATATCTAAACTTCAATGTTGTATATCACTTAAATTTGACATGTTCAATATTGAAATTAACATCAATGAGGGAAACATGTTGAAATTGAAGGAATATCAAATTAAAGTAGCATGCTGAATTTGATATGTTCAATGTCGAAATTCACTTCAAAACGGAAACATGTTGAATTAATATCAACATGAATATTGGCGGAAATCTGACGCCATAATAATCACCTAAGCGATTTTCAAAATGGCGGTCGAATTCGTTTTGTCAATTAAATGACGAAGAAATTTGCATTTTAAAATTTGTTTCCAAATAATCACCTATGAAATTATACTAAAACAATTATTCACCTCAGGCTTGGTGATTATCGTGAATAAAAACCTCGACCTCGTCTAGGTTTTTATTCACCGATAATCACCTCGCCTTCGGCGAATAATTGTTAATTAAACGGTATTATAGCAGGAAAATGTGAAATTTTGTATTCGATTACAACAAAAATGACTTGCATCATCAGAAAGCTTACAAAAAATCACATATACGACATTCAAACATTTTTTTGATCCTTCAAAGAGTCTTTGAGTTATTGCTGTTTTAAGTGTGACTAAAATTGGACCAAAATGACGCAATAAGGACTGGGTACTTGGTCAAAAAGGCGTTTTTGACAGCGCATAACTCGGAAACAATTTGAGATATAAAAAAACTGTTTAAATGTCCTATATTCAGCTTTTTGTAAGTTTTCCGATGATGCTAGTCATTGTTTATGTAATTGAATACAAAATTTCACATTTTTTCGCTGTAATACAATAGTTAATAGAGGATAATCACTGATCACTCATTTTCTCGGTGTTTGGCAAGTTTTTTGCTTGGGAACTTTTTGTGGTAATTGGGCATCTATGGTACTGTGCATTGAACCACAGAAAATCTATTCCCAAGGGGGTTGCCACGAAATTGCTTTTCCAAGCACTTTTCGCACAAAGGCCCACGGCCTATTATTAGATTCATTTGGATTGCCAACACCAAACAGTGGAAATTTAAGGTATGCTTGTCTATTGTTTCTCACCATGTTTAATACGCAGTTACCTATCAAAATATTGCCAATTTTGTTAATCTTGATCTACATGGTAAATCCGGCCGTACTATCCAAGTACACGAAATTGTTAAGCAGAATCCATCCCCGCTTCCACGAAGAGTTTTGGCGCAATTTAACTTTGGTTTTGTTATTTTGTGCTCACATTGTCATAAATTGGTGTCGACATTTGACCTACTGTAAGTTAGCTTCTAAACCTGCGCTACGTGAAGTTGGGCTAAATTTCATGTACGGAAATTTTGCTATGAACTCACATGAGGTACGCCACGTCTCGTCAGTCAGTATTCAGCGTGAGTAGGAAGTATAACTCTCCCGGAAACGAAAAAAAATTAGCAGGATTGTATAACAAACATATATACTTTCAGTGAGGTGAGTCCGGCATTGGACCACCGAGGGTGGCTGGAAGTTTCCAGAACTCACTGAGCAAAGTGAGGTGGGTTGGGGAAACTTCCAACACCCGAGGTGGTTGAGTCGAGTCGAGTCAACATAGCTAGACGTGATTTGAGTCAAGGAATTTCCATCCCACGCTTTCTGTATAATGGTTCGCTACCCTAGCTTGCAATCTGAAATTAGTAATCAAATTGACCTTTCAAGCTAATCACTTTCGTCATTTAATAACAGTATCTGGGCAGCTATAGGCTGCACCAATCTTGAGCCGTGAATGGTCAATATTTGTTAGCGTGAAATGTAAAATGCTTGATTTTAATGTCGTGAAATGTGACTTTGTTCTACAGCCGTGAGGCGTGATTGTCGATAAAAATGCTCCGTGAAATGAGAATTAAGGATGTCTGTTTCGTGAACTGTGATTTTGCTTTGTTTATTTCGATCTATTTTATAATAGTTATAATGGACATGATACGCGATAATCAATTTATATGATCTCACTCGATTGCACAAGAGTAAAAACTTCGGAGGTTTTCTGGAGGTCGACGTACATGCTCATCACTCAAACATGTAAGCTATGATGTAATTTTTAACTGGCAGGGAGAGAAGTGAGAGAACTTAAAGCGTAGTTACTGTACCATGCATTAAACATTCTCCTAATAAACCTATTATTATTATTATATTTTAGACTGTAGTTTTCCGCGCGAAATTACTCTTTTAAGACACGTGAATCGTAAAACAGCTTATTTTTCCGTTGTGAAACGTGATCCATACCCCCCCCCCCCCTTCCCACCCTCTATCAAGTACGACCACAAGAGATGTCTCATTGTGCCTGCTGATCTAGTGTACGTACATACAACTGGCATAACTTGCAACTTGAGTCAGAATTAACAAAGAATAGACTTTAATTAATCACGCTTTGTCACTATATAGCACTTCGTAAATACCAATAATAAAAAGTGCCGATCAGAATTAATGGTTCTAAAAAACAAATTTAAGAATCCATTTTAAAAACTGTGGCACTAGCGTTGTTTCTAAAAACAGAAATGTAGTCATGGCTAGAAATCTGCGACAGCCAGCGGTTTGTAATGCAGGCGCACGCACCGTCAGTACGTCATGTTAATGAACATATTGAAAGCCGGGAAGTACGTAAAGAAACGATCTTTAAATGTATAATTTCCCCGGAGGGGTAGCGGGCCGGCTTTAGGGTTAGGGGTTAGGGTGTGGGGTTAGGGGTTAGGAGGTGGTGGATTTGGGGTTAGGAGGTGGGGTTAAGGGTTAGGGTTAGAGGTTGGGGTTAGGGTTAGGGTTTGGATTAGGATTAACGTTTGGATTAATTGTAGAACCATTACAACCCAATAATTTATTGCATACAATGGCATTAAAACGCCAATAAATTATTGGTTACAACGTGCGGAACGGCTGAATGATAAGTAAATCATGTCAGTGACATAATTATGTCCAACATTTAATATTTTATGTCACTAGCTGATATTATCTCAACTTTATAGAATATGAATCACGAACAAGAATATGAAAAAAGCAAAATTTCAATGCGCTTGCATCGCGTTTTAGCGAAGTAACAAGGCGATTTTAAAATGGAAATTAGAGGCAAAATATAGCATTCTTTCCTCTACTTGGGAACAGTATTGATATAATATCTTTAGATAAATTGTGATAAAATTCATGGGGAGAACAAAGTGTATCGATTACGATTTATGGAAACTATCCAATATTGATGTACGATCAGCCTGAAAACTGAAGCGATTATGGGGTTTCGTCGTGAAAATAACCTGGATTACTAGTAAAGTGCGCGTGATTATACCTGCAAATTACTGCAAAATTGTTTTTCTTCGGGAACAAAGCCTGCATCGAATTTTGAACTGAAACGTGAACAAGTACGTAGCTACGACGATTATCATTCAAGATCAATTTATGGAATCGTCATATTTGGTTTGTAGGACCAATAAAAGCCGAAAAGGCAAGTTAACGTAATGCTTTTCTGGTTATTAAACTTATTCACTTAATATTTACATTACAAAGGAGCTAAGTGTGCGTGTCGGCCATGTTGTCGCAGATTTCTAGCCATGATATAGGCATGCCCGTAAGGAATAAATTCTATGCAAATCCCCATATATTTTCTGACAAAGTTTCGCAGGTCTCATTGATCTTCCCAAGCAATACAATCACAATAATTTTGATGAATTTATTCTGTACAAGTTGCAGCTGAGTCGACTCGAGTCATTTACGGCAAAAATCAGCACGTCGAGTCCTAGTCGAGTCATCTGGGGCTGTTGACTCGAGTCGACTCATTTTTGTATCCGCGAATGCAGATATATTGCTATCGTGCGCGTACCGGAAGTTTGTAAGCGTGCTCATAGCCAATCAGCGACAGCGTATAGATGAAATGACGTAATGATACTAATTTCAAAATGGCGGTTTACTGAAGGGTGAAACAAAGGAAAATTTGTGAATTTACGATTAAAATTATACATCAAACGCAGTCAAAACAACGTCATTTTACTAGTCTGAATATGGCAAATGTCGATACTCAACTTCAATATTTCTGGCAAGCATTTGAAGGGTTTCATCATTTAATACGCAGTGGAAACAAAATGATTCGCAATTTTTGACAAGAAAATTATTGACTAATGGCATTGAAAATACTATTATGAAACTATGAAAGTAATGATTCTTCCATATGTTGCCATTGTAGGGGTATATCGAGTTGTAAGTGTTGATATTTATGTATTTCTCAATTTATAACTTTTTCATTGGTGACTTTAATTAATATAAATTAGATGAATGAAACCAATAGAAGGCTATATAATTTCGTAAGGTTACATAATTTCTTTATCAATGATCATAACTATAGACAATTGGTGTCTGCTTTCATTACAGAAAAGCAGACTTTGATAGATCATTTTTATACAAATTTAGCAGATTCAGAAGCTAAGTCACACATATTGGAAACATTTCTCTTAAGGCACATAGCAGTATGTGCATTGAATAATAGTGGTGCATAAAGAGCAGTGATTCAGCTTTTGATTGAAATATCAATACTTATAGCAACAATTGCAACCAGTCATAATTATCAACTTGCAGTATATAACTATATATCCTGGAGGGGTGCTCCCTCCTTCATCCACCCTGATTTCTGCAACTTAATGTCATTGCCAAGAACACCAGGAAAGCAATTTATATCTCCCTATCCCATACTATATTGTCTTATGATCAACAACAACCATATGTCATTCTGCGATCTTATTTATAGCTCACAATGTACAAAATTAACATAATATTCTGTTTATTGGATTTTCTTCCACGACAAAATATTATTGCATGGATCTGGTATGCTGAAATATATCATTCTATTCAAGAACTATATGCATCGATTATACTTCTAATTTCCATACTTGTCATCAATTGTTACTGTGGTGAATGACTTTCAATATATGACCTATTTGATATATTTACTAGGCATGAACAGTTGATTTGTGTGCCATAAACCCTGACTATGACATTTTCTTAATTGAAATAGATCAATTCTAAACAGCAGAAATGTTGATGTTATGTATCAATTATGATATAAAAAGGCTGTCAAAACTCTGCAAATGTATATTGGCACCACCTGTTATCCTGACAACTTCTATGCTGTATGCATCTACAATGTTCTCGCATGCCTGCTAAAGTTTATTATGAACTATCAAGAAGATTTGGAACCCGAAATGTTTTAACGTGAACACAGGGCTGGTTTTACGGGGGTGCAGCCCCTAGCCCTGGCCAGAGGGGATGCAGGGGGGTGCTATTTTTTATAATAAAGCAAACAATTATAAGAGACAAAATGAGATACAATAATTTGAGTAATAATATGATGATAAGCGAACTGTGAACAACAATGACAACAACAATTGTGAACAACAATTATGGTCTATATTTTATAGTCAATTATAGTCTACAAGTTGTGAACAACAATTATAGTCTATATTTAGCTACTTATCACTGTTGTGTTACATACCAGTACAGCTGTTATTGGTTCCATCCAGAGCATATCCCTTATCGCATATGCAATTGTAAGAGCCTTGTATGTTGATGCATGAGATATTGGCATCAGGACCACATGGGGATGATAAGCATTCATCAATGTCTAAACAAAGCGTACGCTGTTTTATTACATTAAACAATTACTGCACCAGAGGCCGGTTGTTCAAAAGCCGATTATCTTAACCCATATTTAACTAAAGGTTTGATAATTCACCATGTAAGTGTAGCTGCCCCTTCCCCAATCGTTTTCAGAGTGTAAGTTGAGCTTCGTTCAAGTCCGATGAATTGTCAGCTGAAACAATGTTGCGCGCATCTACTCATAGACTCTACTGAACGTTGATCTTATATAAAGTTCTGAGTCACTATTCTCCGGCTGATTGAATTCATTGTCATATATTTTGAAATCAGTATTTGACACTGTTAAAAGATGGTTTTTACCATTTTTCGTCAAGTACCTCTACAATACAAAAAATGCCATTTGATAACCCAAAAATCATTCTTTTTACCGAAAAAGCATGAACCCGGACCATTTCCATGCAGAATGATGACTTTACATATTAGTAAGTTTCCTACAAAATAAAATCCTTAGAAGCGCCAGTAATTTCGTATTTTTTTTGTGTTCATGGCATGAATTCGTAACGTTGATACGCTGTTTTGATGTAAAGTTATGACGTCATGACGTTGATATGATTTTCTATATCAACCTATCTTTAATCTTTTTATCAGATTAAAATCTGATACTCCTAAATCAGCTTACGCTATACTAGGAGATACTTATATATGTATATACATTAAAAAAATAACGATGAACTACATATATGAAAAACTTTAAAAGGTAAAAATGTACAATAAAAGTGACCTGCCAAAATTATACCAATACCTTTCATGCAGTTAATGCAGCACTTTTAAAAGCCTTGATATACGCAGGCAGTTCGATAAAAGGAAGATTGTTCCAAGTTACAATGGTTCTTGGGAAAAATGAAAATTTGAAAAAATCATTGTGACAAGTAACTTGCTGAAAGGGATGATGATTTGGAAGTCGGGTTTTTATTTTTATAGGGCACACTTCAGGGGGGGAGTTTAAATCAACGCAGCCTTGGTGGATCTTATAGAACATACACGACTGGTTAAGCAGTCTACGCCGTTCAAGTGTGTCCAATCCTAAACTGTTGATCATTGGGGAAACATGGCTGTATCTGGAAAAGTCTTTGTTAACAAATCTTGGGGCGCGATGTTGAATCATTTCAATCTTCTCAGAATTTCGTTTAGTATGAGGGTTCCAACCGTAACTAGCATATTCAAGCTTAGGGCTGACTAGACTGAGATAGGCTCTAACTAGACCAAGGGTGGAATTAGCTTTTTTACAAATATTGTAACAGTGTTCATTCCAGCGCAAGGTACTATAGTAATGGTGACCCCTAAATATTTTGTAGAACTTTCTCTACAGATAATTTGTCTGTTCAACCAGTAATTGTACATGTGACGGGTTCTCTTAGAGGTTATCCTAGATGGTAACATTTGGATACATTGAATTTAAGCTGCCAGCAATCGGCCCAAGATGATAGACATTCTAGATCGTTTTGTAGAATTTGATAATCCTTAGCTGGTGATTGTCAATTACTCTATATAGAACACAATCATCAGCGAAAAGACGTAGACTTGATTGAATATTGTTGGAAATATCATTTATGTATAGCAGAAATAACACTGGGCCTAGAATGGATCCCTAAGGTACTCCAGAGATAACAGGTTTGGACGAGGAGTGGGTTCCGTTAATTGAGACAATCTGAGAACGATTTGTAATGAATGCTTTTATCCACGTACGTGTATTCCCTCTGATTCCATAGTAGTCGAGCTTAGTCAAGACACGCTCGTGCGGTACGAAGTCAAGTGCTTTCTTATAATCTAAGAGAATCACATCAGTTTGATTCCTCGAGTTGATAGATTTTCCCCCGTCATGAATCGTCGAGATTAATTGGGTTTCACATAAGCGGTTTTTGCTAAAACCGTGTTGTTCATCAATTAGGATATTATTTGCAGAAATATGTTTTGCCATGTGGCTGAGCGCAATGTGTTCCATATAATTTTACAACAAATACACGTTAACGAGATTGGCCAATAATTTGCTGGATTGGACTTACTATTATTTTTGAATACAGCAGTGACAAGAGCTTGTGACCAATCAGTTGAAATTGCGTTGTGATCGAAAGATTGCTGGAAAATGAAGGCGAGCCACTGTGATAGAGACTGAGCAATTTCCTTCAGAACTCTGGCTGGTATCTCATTTGGACCACATGCTTTTTGGGGGTTTAAGTCGGATAGCTGCTTAGCGACACCATCTGGACTAATCTGCAGGTCAGTGATGGGCTCGTATGGTGACTGGCCCATACTAGGAGATGGTGACTGTTCACGAGTAAAAACTGAGAAGAAATATGAATTTAGGGTTTCCACTTTATCCTTATCTGAGATGCTGACAGTGCTGTTAGATTTCAGGCGGGGGGGGGGGATACCTGTAGATTCAGAGTTACTATTCTCGACATAAGACCAGCACTTTTTTGGATTCTCGGTCAAGCTGCTACCAATGATGTTATTAAGGTAGTTCTCGTGCGATTCTTTAATAAGCTTAGACACATGCTTAGACAAAATTTTAAACCCAGTCTTCTTTCATCTCAAATTTCAAAATCTATCAAATTCTTTGCATATCTTTGGCTAATATAATTTCCTTTTTTCCTAGCCTTAATGTTTAAAATTGCTTTCTAGCTTTTCGACAAGTTGTATGCCCCCTTTCGATAATTACGTCGCACATTCTGTTTGGTTTGGAACCTCGCTCTCATTAGTAAATAACGCGAGGTGATTGCATGGTTCACGATTCACGAGAGCGAGGCTAACAGGCCAAATGACGGAAAAGTGCATTAGATAGCACTTTGTATAATTATTAAAAATCCTGATATAACTCTGGTACAAATTTAGATTAACTTTAGGCCATCCACAAATAAGAGGTGGCTTTCGTTTGTTCTAGAGTTTTTGCCAAAGTTTGTCCAGAAACAAACGAAAATTAGATAGACATCAATGATAAAGATAAGAAATTTAAGACATAACAAGCAGCATGGGGTAATCGAAAACCTACCGTACACGCATTATGCCCCACCAGTCCATGGTATTAAAAATTTCACACAGATATGTATGCGCAACAAAAAGCGTTCAGATAATTGATGTGATTAAAGGAAGAGACATGAGTTTATTTATAAAATATATATGTAGTAAACCAAACCACCCTTTATACGAACTACTTGCTCCTAAAAGACAAAGACCGTTAAGAGGACGCGAACATGATTTCATTTTACCTAAGGTTAAAACAGAAAGATTTAAACGGTCGTTTTTAAATAGGTGTCTTTTTAATTAATAGTTTTAGCTAAATTTGAATAACTAACTTATATGCATATATTAAACATAAGTTTTATTGGAACCTTGTATATATGAGAGTTTAAATGTAAAATCACACGTCTGTTGTGGCTATATTTAATAATATAATAAGTAGAAATTGCATGACAAAGTACACATTTTGCTCGTCTATAAGGGTCAACAAAGAAAACTTGTCGAAGTAACCTGAGCACTTGAATGCAGGGTTGGTCAGCGATCTATTGTTGTAATGAGCAAATTAGCTATCGTGGCGGTCAGAAAACCAAAAACTTGTCATAGAAAATTTGTCGCACATACACACGTACACTTGGCAAATAAAACTTGCTATGTAAAAACTTTTTATCAAACTGGTCGCCTAATATTGGGGACTTGTATAGACATATATGTACATGATATTAAAAAAAAAAAAGTATTTCGGAAATGATTTATTAACCTGGAAATTTGAAAGAATTATATTCTCCCATTTTGAACAACATATATGTCTATACTTCCGCACTCCGTTGTTGCTGTGCAAGTGATGCAACAAGCCGCCTATTGCCAGTACCCCTTTCCAGTGGCTGATTAATTAACAATTGGGGACTTGTATATAGACATATACTGTACGTGCATGATACTAAAAAATGAAAGTGTTTTGGGAAAGATTCATAAACCTGGCAATTTTAAAAAATTATATTCTGTAGTTTTGAACAACATATATGTATATACTTTTGCACTCCGGTGTTGCTGTGCAAGTGTGGTGGTGACAAGCCGGCTCTCGCTTGCACCCCTCTTTGGTTGCTGATTAACTGTGGTGGCTGATCATAACTTTGCTGGCTGATTAACTTTGGTGGCTGTTGAACTTTGGTGGTTGATCATAACATTGATGGCTGATTAACTTTGGTGACTGATTAATTGGGGACTACTATTGACATACATAAGTAATATAAATGAATATAAGTGTTTTAGAAATTATTAAGTATAAAAGCTCATATAAAACATTAACCTGGAAATTTGAAAGAATATTGTTCAGTCTTGAAGTGGCAATGCGTCCTGATGCACCGTACTTTATTTTTTATTCTTTCTAACGCCAGATATGATTTTACTTCTGAAGCGAAGAGTGCTGTCACTCAGTGGGGGTTAACATTGGCCTCCTTATCTTGATTACTTTTGTGGACATATATACAGTATGCATGGTATAAAAAATGAAATTGTTGTGGAAATGATCAGGTATCTACTCGTCTATAAGAAGACAAAGTCAACCATAAAGGGTTCATTCAATTTGTGCGGTTTAGTGGAATTTGGAGGTCTTGACCCACCCCATCCTCCTCCCATCCCAGTGACGATGCTTTTGCTGAAAAAAGTTTTAGCGACGGAATAGCTAAAGCAGGTACTCTAGATAAATTTCAACAGTCTGTAGATCGGATTAATAGTTTACATCTTTAATTAAATTACGAAATGTACAACAGAATGATAAACTATTCCGTTCTTATTATATGTTTTGTTTAATTTTCTAGAAGATTGACCATTACGACGCAAGATTTACAAAAATAGTCTAGTACATATATATTTGTTTGTATGCGTTTTCTTTAGAACAGGTAATCTCAGCAGTTTTAGGGTAAAATGATGGTGGCGGTCAACATGGCATATGTGCCAAAACCTGAATCTAGGACGAAAGTCCTGAAAATGTCCTCGCCCTGAAACGGCAGTGTCGACATAGCTCTAACTTCCGAAAAGGAAAAGCGATATCCTTTTTGAAGTGCATATATTGTTTAGAAGGGTTGCTTTGGAAGGTGGTCACTGGAAGAAAAAATTTGTCTAAGTATAATATTTTGCAAGAAAATGATCATGCACCATCCCAGGTAAATTGCTAATTGAATTTCCGGTAATTACGTCACGATTAACACTGTTTTTAACTTAGGTCGACCACCTTAATTAAATGTAATGGATGTTAAGTTTGTTTCTCACGGGCTATGGTCAGAGGAGCAGAACATCCTTCTTCAACACATGCATAAAAATACCCCTCTTGGCCCATCAGCCTCGTTTTCGTGTTTAGGATAATTTCCACATTTATTGGTCAATATCCAAAATTCTTTTTTATGCATGTGTGCAAGAAGGATGTTTTGCTCCTCTGACTATAGCCTGCGAGAAACAAACTTAAAATCCATTCCATTTAAGTTGAACAGTGTTAGTCGTGACGTAATTACCGGAAAGGTCTATTATGCATAAAATAACTATATGCCTGGCAGAAAAGAAATATTCTTATTTCCTTAAAATATTATCATGGGATAAAAAACTATGCTTAATTTAATATAATTATTGTAGTTTTCATAAGGATTGTCATTGTTTTCTATAAATATAATACACTTTATTTCACTTTCCCCCTACGAAAACACGATTGCAGCCTTATTTTCCCGTCGTGTTTGCTTATATCGTCCAGTTCTTGTACTTTTACATAATGATAAACGGTAAAGAATATTGCAACCAAGTTTCATCAAGTTTTGAAGCAGTGCAGTTTATTTTATTTTCGATATTTTGTACCACAGCTCCAAATAATTTCGAAAATATGGCCCATTGCAATGGTTCGCCGCTTCTCTGCGCGATAAATGCCACTTTTTGGTCTTCCTATGTATTTAGATTGCGGTATCCAAGAGTACTTCATTGTAGAATAGCTCCAATCGAAAAATTGAAACCATTAGTTGCACTTGAAAGGAAAAATTTCCTATAACACTTTTCCTTATAGAATCCAACAGGAGTAATTTAAAAGTCTCGTGCAAGTTCGCAAAAACTCCTCGTGGCTACATGACCGGGGGTGAATATTTTCACGAGACTTTTGTTTGCCACAATTCAATTTATTTTTTCACTATTTGCACGATTCTCAAGTACGTAATATTACAAAAGTCGAAGAAAATTATAAAATTTTAATGAGTACTTTAAAAAGGGATTGTGAACGGCCACCAGAGGTGCCGAAGCTTTGGAGCTTGTTGCCGCAATGTTGGAATAATATAAGTCGACATGGCTATACGCGTACATAATAATTGATGAACCCAAGTGCTAAAAGCTCCTAGCCTCAAGATATTTCGAATATAAATATATATTACAAGTTGACATTGGAAATTAAACTAGTTGATGTTAATCGTATTTATTTTTGATTACTAAGCAAGTGTTTTTTATATTTCCTTTTAAAGATATTAGAGGGCAGTGACTTGAGAGCCAGAAGAATAGATTCCCATAATTATAAGTACGTAAACGCATGATTTGAGGGAAATTAGTGATTAAATATCCCCGCAAACCGATGGAAGTTTAGTAAAAGAGCGTAGCCCTCGGGACTTTTACTAAACCTCCCGAGGTTTGCGGGGTCATTTAATCACTAATTTCCCTCAAATCATGCGTTTAGTTTTATCTTGAGTTGGACAACGAAAGGCCTTGATCATTGCTGATCTGGTCCCGACGGTGCAATGGAACCTGAGCCCGTGAAATCACCGCACCCAGGGGATTGCTACACAGCAAGCAAACCAACAGAGAGTACGACCCTCTCCCCGTGCTATGATACAACCATGAATGACCTGAACAATCGGATGCTGAGCATCGTCATGCCCAGTGATCCCTAATCCTATGATAGTGGATGGACGGGAATGATGTTAACTGAGTATGAATCATCATGAACAACCCCCGAGTCTACCAGATGCCTGTGCAACCTATCCGAACAAAAGTCCAAACAAACCACAGGCCAACATTAATTAAAAAGGAGGCCACAGCATTAATTGAAAAAGGAGTACACCAACAAAGGAGACAACTGCGCCTATTAAAACACAAACAAAACAAAACAAACCAAAACAACATTACAAGCCACATGACATATCAACAAAATAACACAATTAAAACATCATAAACAACAGCCAAAAGGGCGGAAGTTTGAAAACATTGACGGACAAGAGTACTAACAGAACTCAAAGGACAACGAAGACAACACCAATGAAGGCGATCCCCGTGCCCAGAGAGATAGATATCAACACATCTCAAAAGACAACGCCAGTATCAACCAATGAAGGCGACCACCGCGCCTCCGAGAAACATTTAGACACATTAATAGCGAAACTCCTCCGCAAAAACAATAATGTTCCCAGCCGACAAATTGCCGACACCACCACTCGCAAAGCAAAAATCGGAGAAATTGGCCGCAAAACAATGGCGCTGTTGAACACGGATCACACATCGTAAGGCAGAATTGACACGCGATAGGGCCGTAGGGTAATGCGGTATCACCTTATCAAACCTGGCTTTATTTCTGGTTAACAAAATGTGGTGGCAAATAATTCCCAACAAACATGGAAATGCGGGAGGTACCTTTACATTTTTCCCATAACCAAGAAGAAGATCACATTTAGAAGGACGTTGGGACTGTGGTCGGAAAAGTTTATAGACAGAAAAATACCAATCAATAAGTTGAATAGGAAATGGGCATTCAGTAAAAAGGTGGATGTGGGAACTCCGTTCGGCCACAGTGACACAACGGGTCAACGTGCATTCCAAAGCTCAGCAAACGATCGGCGTTGGGAAGAATACCATGCGCAATCAACCAGGAAGTATCCCTAACAGGTCTTATGAAACGCCAGAGAAGAAGGGACAATCAAACATTTGACCAATTAATTATCGACCGTAAGACCCCAATTCGCATACTTTTCGACGCATCGATGTGGCTTGCGATGTTGGTGAGACAGGGTGTCATAGACGAAACTTGCCGAGAGCTGTTCAAGCGTGACCACAGATTTCCGAGGACCGCAAATGACGTATTCATTGTCCACAAACTTCCGTTCCAGAGCAAACCAAGCCGTCATCACAGATCGATAAAACGGAGGGAGAGCGTCCATAGCATATTTCGGTGGTACCGTCAAAATCAAAATTTGGTGAACAGAGTGACCAAGGAATGCACGCTTGAGATACTGAGAAAAGAAACTAGTCCACGGCAAGTTGGGAGAAAAATAAGCCTCTTTACCCATAAAACATGCAGAGACAACATCTTACGATGGACGTCCACCAAACCTAAACCTCCATGAATAGGTCGTTGTGTGACTGAGGAGCGAGCCAGTCATTCTCGTTTCTTCCGCCACACAAACGGAAAAAACTCCCCATTGACAGCTTGAATGATTGCTTCAGGTAATACAGAAACCGAACATAGATACCAGAGAGTACTTAGCCCCAGCATATTAGCAATAAGAGCGCGTCCACGAAAGGAAAGCGCTCTCTGGTTCCAAGCTGACAGAGTAGTCTTCAAGGCTTTGATCTTTGACACCCATTGTTCTTCATTATTATTAGAGATACGCGAACCCAAAACAATTATTTCTACATTGGACCAATTCAGAGCAATTGGTAGATTAGAACGAGATTGCCATGTACCAATCAACAACGCATGACATTTTTTAACATTTAATTTAGCCCCAGACGCCTTCTCGTATCGTGTGAACAAATGGAACAGAGCATTCAATGCCAAGTCTGTAATTACGATAACAGATGTATCATCAGCGTATTGACATAATTTTACCGTCCGGCCACTTGGTAAGATTGCACTAGTTATCGTTCCCGCCACCAATACGTAGAGTAAGGGGATAAGGAACAGCCTTAACGAACACCTCGAGAGACAGAGAAAAACTCAGTTCTTTCACCATTGATCAGGATACAGGAAAATATCTTTGAATATAATAAAAGTATCCATTACCGGAAGGATTGACCAAAATTCATAGTCTTCAATACAGGGGATAAATACTCCCATTCTACCCGATCAAACGTCTTCTCTTGGTCCAGCGAAATAATTGCAGCTGCTTTACGATTCTGATTGGCATGAAAAACCACATCCTTCAGCAAACGAACACGTTCTAACGAATTCCGGCCCAGCACCCCACAAGTTTGATCCGAATGAGTTACCTTGGCAATAACACTCAACAAACGATTTGCAACAGCTTTGGCAACAATTTTATAGTCAGCGCATAATAATGTAATGGGACGCCAATTCTTCATATCAAGACGATCCCCATGCTTATGGATGAGCGTGATAACCCCCGATCGCTGCGAGGGAAACAATTGTCCATGATTATAAGCAAAATTAATGACATCGACAAAATCAGTTACGAGAAGCGACCAAAAACGTTGATAGAACTCAGCTGGAAGTCCATCAAGGCCCGGGGATTTTCCAGTTGCCATGGCACCCAGTGATCTCTTGCATTCCCCCTCAGTTCCCACAAACTTTGTTCAGCGCTGGACAGTTTCATAAACAAGGAATTCAAGAAGAAGTCTTGTTCAACTCGATCTAGGCTTTGCGATGTAAATAGTAAACCATAAAAGGCCACCCACGCTCGAGCGATGCCTACGAAGGTAGAAACCATCGTGCCGGCCATGTTTTTAACTGAAGTAAAGATCCTGCGTTGACCACGTTTACGTTCTAAACCGAAAAATACTTGGTAGAGTCTTCTTCCTCTTATTGAGCGTTTGCGCGAATAAGGGTTCCTCTCGCTTCATCTCTATGAGCAGCCTCCAGTTCACTTTTAACATCTTCAATGATTGGAGGGACCTCGTGACCAATTTAGCAGACGTCTGTTCTAATGAAATAAGGTATGCTCTAACGATGTAATGAGCTTTCGACGGCTGACAGCTTTTTTCTTAGAAAATTTACGGATATATTGTTTTAGTCGCCCATTGCCTGCATCCCACCACGCAGTAAGCGACAAGAAAGAAGATTTATACACTCTCCTAGATGACCAAAAGTCCGACACTAGTTTAACGAAGGACTCATCTGAAAGGTGCCGAGCATTCACCTTCCAAACACCATGTCCACGATGGGTGCCGGACGAAAGACAAAGCTCCAAATATACAGTGGAATTGTCGGAGCGGAAAAGGAGAAGGATATCGACACGCTTGACACAGGACAAGAGCAAGGCAGAAAGCCAAAATATGTCTATTCGCGAGGATTGACGGCCGTTGGGGCGACGCCAAGAGTACTCCTGAGCATTTAGATGAATTGTACGTCATGCATCGTGCAAATCATACGTGGACATTAAGTGATGCAAAGTCACTGACCAATTATACGCCGATGGTGATTGAGAGTTACAACCAAAACGGTCTTTGATCAAATCCACCACAGTGTTAAAATCGCCACACAACACCGTCGGGGTGTCGGGATCAAGCACTTGATCTAATGATTCAAATAAAGTAGACGCAGGCTTTGCGGTATTTGGAGCATATATGTTCACCAACTGGATCAAATTACCATCATTGGAAAACTCTGCGCACAAAAGCAGACCATCTTGGTCACGAGAGCAACTGACAACATCATAACTAGGATTGTATAAAATGGCAACCCCACAACTAAGAATGGTTCCCAGAGAAGAAATGCATTTGTAACCAAACTCATTACAGCCCGACGAGGTGGCATGATCAAACCAAGATGAAAACTGTTCCTCGGAACTTGAATGAGTCTCCTGTAGACACACAAGTTTTAGCGCAATTTTACCACTGAAACAACGTTGCTATGTTATCAGTTTAGTGTGATAAATGTTAACTTGCTCATGTCGATTGTTGTAAAGGTCAAAACGAGGACACAAGGTAAAAACAATTTTGACATTAAAAACAAGGATCGCCAATTCTTTTCGTTACCGGAACCGCAAAAGTTAGGTATCAATTGGAGATTGAGATTCCGAATCACGATTTTCCTTCCTGGGAAGGTTCGGTGGAATTTGAGTTGAGGGAGTAGTCCGAAGATCATTTTCCTGAGCCGTGCTAAATTCTGATCCATTTTCAGGTATGTTAGGGTATTCGTTATCTTTACCACCACCATCCTCATCATCTCCGCCTTCATAAGCTTCGATGAAGGGCGTACCAAGGATTTCGGAAGCAATATGCACAGAGTCATCCGCAGGAGGAGCGGAGGGAAGAGGTGAAGAATCATCCACTTTAGAAGGCCTTTGCGATTTGCGGGTACGAACCTTCCTCTGCACAGATGTAGTTCTTTCAAGTGGAATTGCAACACCATTTGCATCATGCTCCATGGATATATATTGGATCAACTTTCGTCACTAAGAGACGAAAACGAATTGGAGGAGGAAAAACGAGCCAAAGGACTAGGGGGGAGAGGCAGAAAAGAAGGGACAAAATCATCCTCAACTACACTCCCATCCGAAGAAGGATTTCGATCGACTCGCTTTTCCGAAATATCGGAAACATCCCTGTCATCAAGTTCCCTAGTGCGTTTCCCAAGGACTATAGTAACTGGCTGCTCTCCACCTCCACCTTCTTGTAATGGCAGTTCCTCTAGGACATCAACAAACTTATCTTCATCTTCCGAGTTGTCAGAATCTTTATGAGAATATAGCTGAACCACGGGAGAAGAAACTGCTGTAGAGGACGGGGGTAACGTAGCTGTGACCCCACCTTTATTGATGTTACGAACATTTTTATTCCCCTAACAACTGCATTAGGAACATCAGAGTGAGTGACTGAATTGTTCAACTGCTGATTACCAAGATTATTATTTGTAGAACTAGCATCCAGACTATGGCTATCGGCATTAATAGCTGTGATGGACGAATGAGGACCATCTGTTAATTTCGGAAAACGCGTGTGACTCTCATCAGTGGTGTACCTAACTAAATTACCCGTACCATGGGAACCAATGCGTTCTTCAGGTACTGCACAGGTCGACGGTCGATTTACTCCCGTCAATGGACCATCTGCATTGATGATATTGCCTGTAGTACGCGCGTGATTAGGGCAATGTTTAGTCATGTGACCTGTCTGGTGGCACGAGAAGCACGTTTGAACCTGACCAACATAAAAACAATTACAGGAATGAGCTGCAATAGTCAACCGCGAAGGAATAGGTTTAGATAGGTCCATTAAGACCTGACGAACCCCAACATAAACTCCATGAAAGGAGTATATTTTATTCTGAATGACTTTGCCGTATGGCTTCAAAGCATCAGCAATCGCTTTATTGAGAATCCCATAACTCAGGCGCGTAATGTTTGCCCATTTGGCCGTCCTGACCGGGTTGAACGTTAGACGAACATCTCGAAACGTAAGCCCGAGATGACACACTTCTTCCATATTCAATGCGGTGCGACAAGTAATACGAACTTTGCGAGGCGATAATAAGACAAAAGCCTCGAAAAACGTGGGAAAATTATCTCCCGTTTGGCGATGGAAGTCTTCCATTATGTTTTTGACAGTTACCTTGGCCTGCCCTTGAGTATTAGGAAGCTCTACACCCACCGTTCGATTTGAAAAAGTAATTTTCATGCTTATAACAACTTTAACACAAAGCACGAAATTCTATCAAATATGAGGGTAACCCCACACAATAAATTATACACAAAATATTACCCCAAGGAAACTCACAATCGAGAAACCTGGCTATTAAGGGCGGTCAAGCACCGTCCCCCAAACAAAATAAACACGAACAAGAAAAGAACAGACCCCTTCCTTAGAGTAGCCCCATAATAGGCCCATCAAACGGGAACAGCCAGAAACCACACAAAACTCCCTAAATAACACACTTAAAAGAAAAATAAACAAGGTTACCCCGCCCAGCGACTATTTGCCGCCGGACGTTGTTGAATCTTGGAAAAAGGAACCACCAAGATAGGGCAGACCAGGTAACCAGACAAGACCAAGACAAACCAAGCCGGACCAGGCCGCACGACCAAGCGGGACCAGGCAGCACGACCAGGCAGCACAACCAGGCGGCACGACCAGTCAGGAGGACCAGGCAGCACGACCAGGCAGCACGACCAGGCAGCACGACCAGGCAGCACGACCAGGCAGCACGACCAGGAATCACAAACACGAAAACAACAAACACCAAACACCAAACACCAAACAGAAACAATCAACAGGGACACAGGAAAACTTCGTTCTAGCTTTGGCAGCAAAATACCTTCTGAGCGAACCAATAGCCTCAGTACTTTAGTAAATACATGGTAGCCGAGGGAATCGCGCGAGGTGTGTTGCCTGTTTTACAGAATCGGAAAGTAGATCAGAATTTTCCTTTAGAACCCAGCTGGGTATCCCATCTGGACCATTGGCCTTGGCTGGATTCATTTTTGACAATTTCATAAAGACCTCCTGCTCCGTAACCGTAAAACCAGGTTCATCGCTGATTGTTCGAATGTGTACGGGACGGTGTCGTCAGATACTGCATGTTCATAGTTGTGCCGCTGATTTTCGATGAGGTACAGCTCTCCAATCAAAGGTAATGAGGTACGTTTTTGTCTTCTAAATCTCCCTCATCAAGCATGCAGGGAACAATTAGAAGACAAAAAAATCCTTTGTTTTCAACTAAATATCCCCGTTCCCCGGGGAAATTTAGAAGACAAAAGCGTATGCATGGGTAATGAGGGAAATACGAGATTAAACGTCCCTGTTGAAACAAAAGAAACCGAGGCTACCATGTGTTTTTTGAGTTTCACAGTCAAAACACAGTGATGTTTGGGAAATTAAAGAATCCCGTTATAAAATAAATCTTTTGTTTTCAATGTCGGACAGGATACACTTCAACCATAAACAACCATATCGTTCGTTTAATACCACCGTTTGACCGAACAGTCTGCGTAGAAGATATTGATGCTTTTACGGCGATACGTGCTAAACTTCGCAAGCCAGAAGCGCGTTGAGTGTTTTCCTTGCAAGTGAAATATGATCCAGGTTCTCGCTTGAAATGTAACGCGACACTTATTATTGATGACATTCAGTATAGCAGGAAGTTTTAGCATGATCAGTACAAATTTAGAAAAGTTCCTTTCACCATCTCTTGTTACAAATTATAGATAGATAGATATAGATTGTAAATAGATAGATAGATAGTTTAATTAATTAAAAGCATTACAACCCACGGGTTGAATTACGCTTCTAACTTTACAATAAATATTTACTTAATCGAACATACATTGTAGAAATATGCTGTATTTTAAATCTATTCGTCCAACTATCTATTCGTCTTTCCTTATATAAATATTTACTTTATCTAAAATATCTTGTAGAATTATGCTGTATAAATCTATTTTTAAGTCTATTCGTTATACTAATAGAAACGTTAAAAATGTTCTCTTTCCTTATATTATAATTTGGATGAAAGAGCCTGTGAACAAGGTTCATGATATTTGCGATATTCGGCGATAAAAAGCGAATAAGACGGCAAAGTATGGCTGAAGTCGTGTCTTCGTGGCTGGGTTGGGGGAGTTAAATAAAATGTATTATATTTACAGTAAACAATAACAATACTTACGAAATCCACAATAAGTATATTAAATTAAGTTTTTCGTCCCATGGTAACTTTTTTAAGAAATAAGAAAATTTAATTTCTGCCAGGCATATTAGTTATTTTGTGCATAATTAGTAATTTACCTGGGGTGGTGTATGGTCATTTTCTTGTAAAATATTATTCTTAGACACATTTTTCCTTCCAATGACCACCCCTAAAAGCAACCTTCTAAACAATATTTTGCTTTTCTTTTTCGGAAGTTAGAGCTATGTCGACACTGCGGTTTTAGGGTGGGGTTATTTTCAGGACTTTCGTCCCGAATTCAAGTTTGGGCACATACGGTGTATGCCATGTTGACCACCATGGCTATTTTACTCTAAAACAGTTCAGATAACCTGTCCTAAACGAAAAAATGCAAACTCATATGCAGGTGCTAAACTTAAAACCTAATCACACTGACTCAAGATACTCATGAAGTGATAATCAAGATACTCATTATACTTCGATAGATAATCAAGATACTCATGAAGTGTTAGAAAACCATTGTTATGCAAGTGGCATTGATTTAGTGAATTAGAACATTGACTAATGCTGTAACAATGAATGGTTATCTTGTGCCTCTCATAGAATAGGGTATAAAACTATCCAATAGAAGAATAAATACGAATCGTCTGTATGTCTAGCATGCATTGGTTCTGCCCCCGTTAGAGGATTTTGAAATAAAAAAAAACAACGTCATTCATACAATAGGTGCACCACTTCGGCAAAACTAATTATTTTGTGCTCTTTCGGCACATAAGGACAGTGGATTTAAAATTCAACAACCTGGTGAGAAACATATCAATGTGAAAGTAGTCTGGTTTATATCGGAGATACTTGTCGGAATCTCCCAATATATCTGAGAGAACTTTAGGTGATTTTTTCTTCCATTCTTGCAGTAACTCATGTTACTCATGATAACTAATAAAGGCGCATTTAGTTTGAAAGGAGACGTGAATATAAATGTAGTCTTACATTATTTGCACTAATGACAATCCGGCTTATTGATCAAAAGCTTCCCTAGATAAATGGACGAGAAGTTTACACCTAACAGACGGTTATAATCTTCAGTTCACTATACAATCGTACAAGAAATTTATACTTGATTTTCCTATAGTGTGAACCTTCTGTTTCAAAGCTTTTCCTTTTTCTGGGATAACCAGCTAGTATGCTGTTGATATCTATTATACATGCTACTTTCTTGATGAAATTAGACCAAGTACGCCTTTTTAAACCTTTTTTCTCACATTGATTATGTTCTTATTATCGACCATTATTTTTGTTTAATATCTCTCAGTTTTGATCATAGCTGATTAAATAGAAAACATAAGTTACCTGTACACTCGCTATCATTTCCAGAAAAGCCATTTTCACATTGGCAAGTAACGGAACTGTTAGTCTTGATACAGTGACGCAAAATACCACAGGGACGCTCGGGACACCCTTCCTTTACTAAAAGGAAAAAATAAGTATACGTTACTGCTAGGTCAAGGCTCTTTACTGAGAAAATATTTTTCCAATGTCCCGAATAATTAAAACACGACAGAAGTTGTATGGGTCAAAGGTTTTTGTTTTAGTACCGACTGATCTATACAAGAGGCCAGTAATTAAATGCTGTTTTTAAAATGGTTTTCCCATAACGTTCGCACACTGTTAATTCTAGGGAGTAATTTTAACTCCACCGTAAGAGTTGAAATAACTCCCTTTTGGGGAGTAAAAAAAGTAGAGTATATTTCACTCCAAAACCAGAGTTCAAACTACTCCACTTCAGTTCACATTAAAACTTTTACTCTACTAAGAGTAAATATTACTCCATTGCAGGGATAAAATATACTCCAGCAAAGGAGTACAAATATTCGAGTACTTTTTACTCCTTTATTTTTATTCCAGGAGTAACTTTAACTCCAATCTTACTGCTCTAGGAGTCAATCCAACTCTCATAAAGGAGTAGAATTTACTCTTTAAAAGGAATAGACATATCGGAGTAATTATTGTATTTTTACTCCTTTATTTTCACTCCAAAAAAGGAGTAAACATACCCGAGTAAGTAGTGCATTTCTGGGAGTCAATTCAACTCTCATAAAGGAGTAGAATGAGAAAATTTGGAATTAAACATTACTGTAAGCTCATTTATTTCTCATATCGGTTTGACATATTTTTTTACAAAATGGCGAATTACATGCGAGATTCAAATTCTGAACCTAATCAAGTGTGGAAGTGGGATTTGTAACCGATGTGACCAGAGGCTCTTCCTTCTCGCCTATCGTTTCTTTCGCCTCGCAAAGAGCCTCTGGAACCAGGGCAATCTATGCATTTGCAGATGATTAACTTAAATCCAGATCGTATCTAATCGTATCTTACACTTATGAATTTGCTATTCCTGCAAACTTGATTTATTTTAGCCTTTGATTGGTCATCCAATCATGCGCCTCTTTTAACATCACGTGACAATACGAACCCAATACGCATCGCGCGCGCCATATTCAATCTTTTCTCCCTCGTGTTCACCAAAGCAAGGCTGGAAATATGTGCTTAATGCGTTTAGCCGTTTTAAAACATTAAATTTGAGCTTCATTCTCTCCGTTTTGTCAAATATATTCAAGAAACAGTATACAGAGAAAAAATGGATTCAGATTTAGAGGTACTGTGAAGTTTATTTTGTTTTTATGGGAAGGATCGGTGCGGCGGTGCCCGTCTATAAAATATGCCATAATAAAAAATAATTTAGTGATTTAGGGTTGTATTATAACTATGGTATGCCGAAAATATATGATTTCCTTAATATTCTTCTTAATCCAAAGACATTTTATTCGTTTTAAGCAACATCAATGAGCCTAGAATGATCTGAGCGGAGTGTTTTATATTGAGTGCCGGCAGGAGTCGGCTAATATGTTCTAGACAAGCTAACAGAAGACGGGGTATCGATCACATATTCACATACTGACATAGCTATAACAACATGTTAAACTTAAAGTATAACAAATCATTTTATGACATTTTCAATGATATATGGCTATGAGAATGATAGTCTGATTTGCGTTCGTTAAATTTTCAAATCACATTTGCTTCCACATTCAAATTCCCTCTTTTCCTTGTGAAATTTCCTTAAATACAATGGAATTTCCCTGGAAGCACCGAAATATGTTGAAAATGATGAAAATATGATTTCTACTGCACTGGCCACTGGATTTCTGCAATAGTACAATGTTTATTGTTTATATAAATGTGGATCCAAGTCTGATTGTGATGTCTGGTCACAGTCCTGCTAGTGTTTTATTTGTACCGAAATACCAACCGAGGTGAGGAGCTATTTTACAAAATTAACAGTGTAACAGTCACATTTTATAGACAAATAATGGTTGTTTTTAATATTTTAATAGCTCTGCACAATCGAGTTGCTTCATGGCAGACTATAGTGATGTCTTGCTAAAAGAATTGGTTTCAAAAGGAGGGCAGATTGTCAAATTAAGGATTGCTATACAAAGATATAAAAATCAGGTAAATTATAATTGCAATTAAAGGCATCTAATTATGTATTCTTGACTTGCAAGCAATCCTTTGGCAATTAACAGATAGTTGAATTTGGGGACCAACATGGCCACCATTCTGTAGAAATGAGATTCTCTTGTTGAAATGGGGACCAACATGGCCGGTTACAAGTCCAGAATAAGGAATTGTAAGAGGCCGATTACATGGAGAACTTTCAACCCCGAGGTTGAACTCAGCCCTGTTAACCAGGTTGAAATTTTTTTGCGATTACATGGACGATTTCAACCCTGGGATTGAAATGCTATACTATACTGGTGTAATGTACTCAGGTGAATAAGATGCTTGTGTGATGTTATTCTGAGTATATCCACACCGGGCAGGCTTGAAAAATATGCCTGGCCAAGGTGGGAATCGAACCTACGACCTTTGGAATACTAGCCCAATGCTCTGCCAACTGAGCTACGTGGTCAGGTCGGTTCGAGTATGCGATATTTCGGAACTGAGTCTAGTTCCTTCGATATCAGTGTAATCTAATAATCATGATATTTGCTGTGTTGGTGTAATGTACTCAGGTCAATAAGATGCTTGTGTGATGTTACTCTGAGTGTATATCCACACTGGGCAGGCTTGATAAATATGCCTGACCACAGTGGGAATCGAACCTATGACCTTTGGAATACTAGCACAATGGCTATGCTCTGCCAACTGAGCTACGTGGTCAGGTCGGTTCTGGCCGCCGTGGCCAGGCATATTTTTCAAGCTTGCCTGATGTGGATATACACTCAGAGTAACATGACACAAGCATGCTATACTACACGTTCTCGGCATCAATTCCCAGAGGTAAAAAAAGCCTTCATTTTGTTTTCTTGTAATAAGTAGTCACTACCATGCATGCTCGAATAACTCATGATAATTTCAACCCTGGGTTGAAACAATTACAACCTCGGGGTTGAGATTTTAACCCTGCTAGCTGAAGCAGGGTTGAAATTAGCAGGGTTGAAATTTCAACCCCGGGGTTGAACTCAGCCCTGGGTTGAAAATTTTGTCATGTAATCGCGCGTTTGATTTTGATAGAGTTTTGTATTACAGACAAGGCTGAAATTTCAACCTGGTAAACAGGGCTGAGTTTAACCCTGGGGTTGAAAATGCTCCATGTAATTGGCCCCTAATTGTTATCATACATGGTACAGTATCATGAAAGTTTGTGATTTATTGGAATTAGGCAGAGGTTTAAAATTAAATGTCTGGTTGCTCCTTTTATGGGTTATGGTAATTTTTATTAGGTATAAAACATTGCTATTATAAAGGATTTGTTATTTAAATCTAGTTTTACAATATTACAGGTTGATCCTTCAATCCCAGTATCCGACTGTAATTCTGCCCCTTGTACTGGAAGAAGCTCATGCCCTGCATCTAAGGCCGACTCTCCCCTTTTGAATGCTTATTCCTTGGCATCTCGATGTAATTCCCGCCCATCAAGCCCTACTGTATGGATACGATGTTGTCATTTTTCCAACTTGTAACAGTAGCATAGCTAGCTTTGGCAACCAATTAGCTGGTTCTGGCTTTTGGATAAGTTGGGAACCTCCAGTGGGAATATGAAT